CGAAAAATCCAAAATGATGATCTTCAGTAAGAGTTGGAAGCCATCCAGATGGATTATTAGAGGTCATTTCATTGAACAAGTCAAAAGCGTTAAGTATTTGGGTATCCACTTTTACTATAACACCAGATGGGTCTATCATAAAGAGAGAGCAACTGAGGCAGCGAACAACATCGCTGTGGCGATTACACGTTTCCATTATACCAGGGGTAACCAGTATGTGCCGGTGGCCCTTAAAGTCTTTAATGCCAAATTAGCTGCTCAATTATTCTATGGAGTACCAATCTGGATTGAAGCCTTAAAATGGGACTTGGAAAGAATTCAGTCCAGATTTTTTCGTTATGCAGCTTTATGCTTAGAAACCAATCAAAGGCTTCTATCGACCAGAGCATGGCTGATAACAACTCAGTTCTGGCTTAAACTTCATTTCCATGCTAAAGCTAAAAGTATTATCACTCACATGTTAACTGAGTCCCATCTCTCTCCATGGCTTAGATATGTAGAGGAGAAACTCTCTGCAATAGGAATATCCCCAGATTATTTAGCCCCCTTTTCACATAAACAAGCCTATGCTATTATTAAACAAAGATTTCTCGACATCGAAAGGCAAGAACTTAGGGAACACGCAGCCAGCAGATGCTCCCCAAGCAGGTTGGGGACTTTTGACATGGGCTCTACTGCGAAGTATCTGTCAAGTTTAACAGCCCCACACTACCGCAGAGCATACATGCTTGCACGCTTTAATGTTCTGCCATCGGAGGTGCTGTTAGGGAGGTACCGCCAGATACCATATGTAGACAGACTTTGTCCTTAGGGCTCTCTAAAAGATATAGAATCCACTACACACACCATACTTCATTGCCCCCTCTATAGGGATACTGTCTTTCCATGATGTCTTGTGCTGTCAATTCCAATAAAGGGTTTGTGTGTGTGTGTGTATGTGTGTAGGGGGGGGGGGAATGCCGGCACAGAAGTATCTGGTCAATAGCAGCCTCAGCCATCAAAAGCCAAAATTGTTTCTAATTCAGGACATTTCTGTACTTAAGAGGAAAGAAATCAGGTCAAGTGTGTGTGTGAATGAGGAAATTATGTTAGATCTAGATGGAGTAAAGATAAGCACTGCCAAGCGGGTAACCGGATCTGTAACATTTAGGGTAACCTGTATGCACTACTTCCTAAATAAAAACCCCAAGGACTTTCCTATTTACAGTCCCTACGCTGCTAGTCAGTGCCTTTTAACCTCAAAGGATCCAAGATCTATATGTGGGATGTCAGGAAAAGGGGAGGCGTGGTGGTGAGGGGAGATGCCAGCAAAGAAGTATCTGGTCAATAGCAGCCTCAGCCATCAAAAGCCAAAATTGTTTCTAATTCAGGACATTTATCTACTTAAGAGGAAAGAAATCAGGTCAAGTTTAGTTACATGAACAAAGTGATCTGTAAGACACCCCCCTGACAGATACAGTGTCCACTGACATTACAGCCCCTAACATCTCCTCAATGTACTCCTTATCGAGGTTTCCAAGATGTGCTAATTCCAGTCATGTGTCTTGGCAGAGGCGTGCGCCAAGTTGTCAGTCTCCAGACAGACAATGGAGACCGCGTACGTCTTCGGGAGGTCAAAAACCCCCATACCAAAAACTGACCCATACCAAACAGGTCAAACCCTCCAAGCAGAGTTTTTGACTTCCCTGTCACCAAGTCAGTTCAAACCCGTCTATCACCCTTCCTTCATATTTGGTGTCACATCACCTCGGACGAATGGGTGCTGTCAATCTTGACCCGAGGCTACCGTATTCAATTCCACCAGAACCCATTACTTCTGTCGTCGTCTCCACGCACCCTTCCCCACCTCTCCTGGACCCTTCCCCACCTCTGCAGAAGGGAGCCATCGAACAGGTACCACCACACCTCCACGGGACAGGATTTTATTCCCGATACTTCACAGTCCCGAAGAGAGATGGAGGCCTTCGACCCATTTTAGATCTAAGGGCACTGAACTGTTTTGAAACCTACCATCGCTTCCTCATGGTGTCCTTACAGCAGATTATACCACTCCTACGGAAACACGTCTGGAGCCGCGGCCACCACTATTCCCCCTTCGTTATTTCTACATCATCGCACACACCCCCACCATCCATGTGGGTACCATCGGGGTGCGAGACGACCCTAGATTGAGAAGGGATGACAGTGCTACTGGAACATACATCGGTTTGGGATTAACTCCATCTTGGGATAAATGATTGACGTGATATCTAGAGCACCAATATTTTATTCGATTGTATTATATTGTTTTATCCTGTTTTTATCTGTTTTAATGTTGGCATTCAGGCCATCTTGTTAGTCGCCCTGAGCCTTTGGGGAGGGCGGGGTATAAATATAATAAATAAATAAATAAATAAATAGCAACGGACTAGCCAGACTGAGAAGCAAAATCTGCGAGGAAGGCTCCTGATGTTCAATTAGCACAGGACCCCTCCACTCCAAGACCGCACTGCAACTCACAGTACTGAACTCATGCAGCAGCCCTTGCACCTGGTCTCCTTTTTTCCTGGCACAACACACCCAGAGCCTGAGGACAATCCTCTTCTAGAGATATCCAAGAAGTAAAAGGATTATCTTCTCGGCGGCAGTTGATTTATGCAAAGAATTAAAATGTAACAATCACTCCAAAGCAGACTACACTACTGCCACAAAGTGGAGGAGTAATTAGGAAAAGCGGCGGAATTGACTAGCGGCAATTTTGGTTGGTTTTTAACTCCTGAGAGGTGGTTAGTGTGAACCTAACTTTATGGTCCCATGGGTTAGCAGTAAGGAGAAACTAAGAGCAAACAGAGCAAGTATTGTTTTGTTCCTCTTAAAATGGGGTGTGACACACCAAAGCATAACTAAGATTTTGATGTGCTTTTAAAAATAGAGTTTTAAACAACGGCTGAGGGGTGACATGACCGAGGTTTATAAGATTATGCATGGGATAGAGCAGGTAGAGAAAGAGGTACCTTTCTCCCTTTCTCACAAGACAAGAACTCGTGGGCACTCCATGAAATTGCTGAGCGGTCGGGTTAGAACGGATAAAAGGAAGTCCTTTTTCACCCAAAGAGTGATCTGCACTTGGAATTCACTGCCACAGGAGGTGGCGGCGGCTACAAGCATGGACGGCTTCAAGAGGGAATTGGATAAGCATGTGGAGCAGAGGTCCATCGGTGGCTATTAGCCACAAGGTATAGATAGGGACTCTGGGGCAAGTGATGCTCTGTCTTCTTGGTGCTTGGGGGGGGGGTCAACAGTGGGAGGGCTCCTAGTGTCCTGGCCCCACTGCTGGACCTCCTGATGGCACCTGGTATTTTTTTGGCCACTGTGTGACACAGAGTGTTGTACTGGATGGGCCATTGGCCTGATCCGACATTGGCTTCTCTGATGTTGTTATGTTCTTAAATGAGGCCGTAAAAATAAGGGGGGAAATCTGTCCCTTGTTTCCTGATCTTTTATTTCCTACTTGCAAAAGTGAAAGTTCTGCCTGGATGTATGACTTGCATCCTGTTGAAAATCTTCATTCCATCAACAGACCACAACTTCTCTGCCTCCCCCCTGCTGTTGCAGCCCAAAAGGCCCTCCTGAAATGCTGCATCTGGGGGACAGTGGAGCTGGAGGCCTGCGGTGGGAGTGGGGGACTGACAAACAAACACTGCCCACCCCTTCCCTCAGAGGAAACGACTGAGAGAATCCAGCCCTTGGCTCTCTGCGGAAGGAGCTTGCAGCCCTGGCCTTAATGTGATGCTTCCCCTATCAGCTACTTTAAAGAAGAAGAAGAAGAAGAAGAGATTGGATTTATACCCCGCCCTTCACTTGGAGTCTCAGAGCGGCTTACAAACTCCTTTCCCTTCCCCTCCCCACAACAGACACACCCTGTGAGGTGGGTGGGGCTGAGAGAACTCTGACACAAACGGATCTTTTTCAAAGACAGCTGTGCCAGAGCTTGTGACTGACCCAAGGTCACATCAGCAGGTGCAAGTGGAGGAGTGGGGAATCAAACCCGGTTCTCCCAGATTAGACTCCGCACACTTAACCACTACACCAAACTGGCTCTCAGATTTTATATCAAACTGGAAGAGTAGAAATAAAAATGTTCAACAGTCACCCCCTGAACCCAGTAAAACACACTTGCCTCATCTTAAATAGTTCAAGCGCATTAAAGGTCTTTTCACTTTTTGCCAAGTCTGTGCCACATAGCCTTAGCACTGCATTTTTTGAATGAAACCTTTTGCGAACTCAGCTCTACAATCACACAACTGGAGTACACCAAAGGCAACATAATCCAACATCCCCCTAACCCCATTGCCCAAAGACAGGACCACCCAGTGACCAGATTCAACCTTCCCACTGTAGGTCCCCAAACTATTGCACAGAATGTCGCAAGCACAGACCAAGTTCACCGTAGTGATTTGAGAAGGCAAGACACTGTGCAGTGGGAAGCGACTCCTCCCCCAAAACCCGATCTGAAAGTGAACGTGCTCTCTTTGTGCCAAATATCTGTTTTACTACCCCACAGAATGGATCCCAGGAGGCACTGTCTTGGACCCACTCCACGGGCAAGATAACGATAACTATGAGGGAAAAGCCCCGGGCATAGAAATCGAAATGGGAGATCCTTTTCAGCCCCCAAACCTCACTCCCAGGTACTGAGGCTTCATGGCTTTCAACGCGTTTGGTGAACTGTCTCCAGCCTGCTCTCAGCAGCAGGAACAATAAGTTCAGAGTAGACCCTCGCTCCCTCCTCCTAAGTGCAGACCTATACTCTTTCCGTTACTCTAAGGACAGGATGAGTAAGACATAGTTACACAAACAATTGTCGCTTTCTCTCCCAATTTCTGTTATGTTAGGGTGATTTGCAGGCATTCCTTCTTAAGCGTTCAGTGCGGTTTTCAGTGAACTTCATAGCCCAGGAAACATCTCTATAAGGAGGGCAGCTAACTTCAGGGAAAGAACTATCCCAAAGTATGTCTTACCCCAGAAGTGGCCTCCCAAGCAGCGTGAAGTCATCTGCACCGACCAGCAACACCTAGGGCAAGATTGAAAGATACATATCCATCATTATGTCCCTGTTACAATTATCATTACCCCAGGAACTGTGTAAAGTGCGCTCAATGTTTCTTTAACGATAGCAATAATGTTAGAAATATGAAAATTACGAAAGTGATACTAATACATTCAAATTGTAAATCCAGTTACATAAGATTGAAGATAACAACGACGGTGGGACGGTGGTCTCCGGAATGCGATGCCGTTTTGACAAACGTCTTCTTCTGACCAAGAATCTATAAGCTTATACATGATATAATACATATGAACATTAGTACTTAAAGGTAAAGGTTCCCTTGCTCGAAAGCCAGTCAAATCCGACTCTAGGGTTGCAGTGCTCATCTCCGTTTCCAAGCCGAAGAGCCAGCGCTGTCCGAAGACGTTTCCGTGGTCATGTGGCCGGCATGACTAAACACCAAGGCGCACGGAATGCTTTTCCTTTCCCACCGAAGTGGTACCTATTTATCGACTTGCAATGTCTTGCTTTCGAACTGCTAGGTTGGCAGGAGCTGGGGCCAGAGACGGGAGCTCACTCCATGATGCGGCACACTCGGGTCTCGAACTGCTGAACTACCGACCTTCCACAGCCTGCAGTTCAGCGTCTTAACCACTTGAGCCACCGCAGCTCCTTTTTAGTACTTACATCTTAGGTAATTGTACAACAAAATTTAAAATAAACTTGGTACAAAACCTTACTAAGTAAAATTACCTAAGATGTAAGTACTAATGTTCATATGTATTATATCATGTATAAGCTTATAGATTCTTGGTCAGAAGAAGACGTTTGTCAAAACGGCATCACATTCCGGAGACCACCGTCCCGCCGTCGTTGTTATCTTCTACCTTATGTAACTGGATTTACAATTTGAATGTATTAGTATCACTTTTGTAATTTTCCTATTTATAACATTACTGCTATCGTTAAAGAAACATTGAGCGCACTTTACACAGTTCCTGTGGCTCTATCTTTTCATGTCTACGGACTGTGACCATATTTGTCTTTGTACAATATCATTACCCAACAGTAGTATCATAATTTTGGTAATTTATTTGAAGAACAGGCGCATTAAAATATGGTTATTTTGTTTTCTAGCTACAGTTTACAGTTGACTATAATGCAAAGGTAGAGAAGAAACAGGCCAGTCCAATACATACTGTATTTGCTGAGAACTGTGTTTATACCTTTAACTAAATTCACTTCGAACCAAAAAAAGAAGATAAAATTTGCTTTGGAGAGATGACAGATACGAATTAATACATCTAACTATCTTCATACACAATGAAATTCTGTCAGTTACTGTCATCTCCACACACTTTCAAAGGAAAAGGGACTTCTTGTGGTGGTCCTTTCTTTGGTAACACAAGAGGACAGTACTGGGAATGGCAGATCTAGCTATCCTTTGGGTTCGGTGGAATTCAAACAGCTGCGTCAGGAACACAGGGTGCAAAATCATTAGAACTGTCTTTTTTCGGTCCATCTTTCTAACCAGCTATTCCATCAGTGCAGCAGTACAAAACCATGCAAAGCAGATAATTGGGATCTTCTTAAGTTTGTGTTGTTAAATCCTGACAAGATGCGGCCAGGATTTACTGGAAGCTTAAACATAAAAGCGATACCTTTTCACACTGTTCTGAATTTCTGCCCTTCCAGCTGTCAGCTTCTTGCAAATGTCTCATCTATTCCACCCAAGGACGTTATAAGTGGCTGACAGCAGCACAATACCTAGAGAAGGCCTCTCAGCACTGGAGCCACAGGAACAGGTTTATAAGAAACCTTCTTCCCCTTGCTGAATAGTTCCATAAACAGGCACTTGACCAGAATATATATATGTGATGATCACTCACTTGTGGTGTTTTATGTAAGACTTGGACAGACCAGGTTCCATGTTAACATTAAAAGTGGATTGAGCTAGATGTTTTGAAGCACATACCCCTGTCATGAAATGCTATCCAAAGAAGGTAGCGTGTATCAGTTATATATATAGTTATATAAGAGTGTATCAGTTATATATTTTTGTAGAAAAAGCCCAGCAGAAACTCATTAGCATAATAGGCCACACCCAACAGCAGGAACTCATTAGCATATTAGGCCACACCCCTGACAGCACCGCTCATTAGCACATTAGGCCACACCCCCATGTTACCAGAAGTGTGGTCATCCAGCCACACCCACCTTTTGCTTCTTATTCTGTTTACCTTGTTTGTTGTCAAAACCCAGGGCTTTTTTGTAGCAGGAACTCCTTTGCATGTTAGGCCACACACCCCTAATGTAGCCAATCCTAATGAGTTCCTGCTGTTGGGTGTGGCCTATTATGCTAATGAGCTCATGCTGGGCGTGGCCAACTTGGGAGCCAGCCGGAACTCCGTTCCTGTGCGTTCCTGCCCCAAAATAGCACTGGGTGTACCAACACTCAACAGCAATAGATCAGACTAGAAGGCATTTCTTATCAGTGCCATTATTCTAAAGGCATACCTGTTTTGGGGACACACTTGGGAATAACACCTAGAAGAGTGACACTGACTGGTTTGAACTGAATGGATAAACGTCTTTTACTATACACTGCCAGGATTTTTCAGATGTGAGAATCTTTCTCTTCAAAAAATTCTGGGATTAAAATTAAAACCCATCAGAAAATCATATGGGTATCTGCGACTAGAATTTTTCCCCCACATTCAGAAAACTCATCTTCAGCCACCAAGTTTGAGTAAAATGTCTGGACTGCCAAAAGGCCTGGAGAATTGCATCCTGCTCCTTAATAGAGGCTTGATAGGATGTTGTTTACTTTCATGCCATGAAAAGCTTCACTTGCCCACTTCCACACATTCAGCCTGTATTAATGGGACATGACTTTTTTTCTTCCTCTCTAGGCAGTTGGCAACTCTATGACATTTGGATAGCTAGCCTTAACGGTGAACATTTTTGTTACGGAGTATTCCAGCACTTCCTTTCAGAAGGGGGAGAGGTTCATACATGTACCCAGGGGTCATTTCCTGCAGGAGCGCACAGGAGCGGAGCTCCGGCAGTAAAGAGCCCAGGGGGCGGGCACATGCAACAAGCCCCACCCCCTGCTCCCAGCAGCCCTCCGTCAGAGCAAGAAGCAGCTAGGTAAGCTGCAGAGCTCCCCCCGGCCCCCCAGTCCAAAACAGTCCAGTGGCACCTTTAAGACCAAGTTTTATTCAGGTACGAGCTCTCCCTCCTCTGTGAGGACAGATCTGCACCTCCCCCCCCCAATAGCTAGCAATCCAAAACAGTCCAGTGGAGCCTGAGCGGTGGGTGTTGCCTTCTGACACACTTCCGGTGATGTCAGGGGTGTGGGTGGCATATGCAAATAAGTTATGCTAATGAGCTCCTGCACCTCTTTTTCTACAAAATGACCCCTGCATGTACCTACTGTATTACTGCTTCTAAAACATTATTGCTTCAGGAAGCACAGTTTGCTAGGGCTTTTGAGGGGGTTTGAATAGCAGGCATCTTTTAAGAGGGGTGGGAGATTAGGAGTTTGCTATCTTACTTTTGGATTTAACTGTAAATGTTTTAAACTATTATTGTAAGCTACCTTAGGCCATGAGGAAAGGCAGGATACAAGTGTTTAAATAAATAAAGGGCTACTATGGAAGAGGAGACACTGTTTCTCAAAAATGCAATATTTAAAAGAAATTAGTAACCTTTGCTTCATAATCTGAAACACAATCCTAAATAGACTTTTGGTCCTCAAGAGAACCTGCTATTCTGTTCTCAGTCTCCTTCCAAAACATCAGTGTGCAACTGAAGCACAATCAGTTCTATACAGATAAGAAAAAAGTGATACTGATCACAAAATGGCACAGCTAGATGAGTACTTCAGGATTTCTGTTGCTTTAAAAATGCTGTAGGGGCCTGTGGCACAAGGGGGCAGCAGGCTCCTGTCTGTCCTCACGTTGTTTTTCAAGAGTCCACACCCCTGGGACACTTGAGCTCTGGAAAAGCAGCACATCTGCCCTTCCTCCATCCCACGGTCCTAGGCAGGATTGGGCCCAATGGCATTTTTAAAGCAACAGAAACTCGGAGGTAAAATGGCTGCAGCCTCCACAGACTGTCCCCCAGGGATGCTGTATCACGTAGTTGTGCCCTGATTGAGAATGAAACTATTTACAGAAGACAAGCAAAACAAAAGGGTGCGCTCTCCAAAAATATCAACCTGTCTGACAGGATGCAGAAATCTTCATGGCTGTTTGCCTGGGGACAACTGCCCCCACTTCCATAAATCACAGCTGGCCTTTTTCTAAATGTTATAGTCATGGAAATGACCAAGACTGTCCTCACCAGGGGTCTTTTCGTAGAAAAAGAGGTGCAGGAGCTCATTAGCATAACTTATGAGCATAACTTATTTGCATATGCCACACCCCCTGACATCACCGGAAGTGTGTCAGAAGGCAACACCCACCGCTCAGGCTCCACTGGACTGTTTTGGATTGCTAGCTATTGGGGGGGGGGATCGTGCAGATCTGTCCTCACAGAGGAGGAACAGCTCGTCCCTGAATAAAACTTGGTCTTAAAGGTGCCACTGGACTGTTCTGGATTGCTAGCTATGGGGAGGGGGGAACTCGCAGATCTGTCCTCACAGAGGAGGGAGAGCTTGTACCTGAAGGCGGGCCGGGGGGGGGGACTCTGCAACTCACCTGGCTGCTTCTTGCTCCTCGTGGCCCAACTGAGGACTGCTGGTAGCAGGGGGTGGGGCTTGTTGCATGTGCTCGCCCCCTGGGCTCCTTACTGCCGGAGCGCCGCTTCTGTGCGCTCCCACAGGAAATAATCCCCAGAAATGACACTGTCCTCAAGTAAGCAGAGGGTCATGTATAATTTTTACGACACAGTTGTGTACCCAATTGTGTGGAGAAAATTAGAATCGCATATGTGAACAAGCCCAAAACATATTTAGCGATGTGAAGTTTTAAAACAGCGCTTCCATCCATCTATTAATACAAGTGTTGTTCAGGGATCCATTTTTTAAAAAAAATAATAATCAGGCCAGTAAGGAAATATTTCTGCGGGCATAAAATGGTTGATAATAGGGAGGCTCACCTTCTCCATCCGGATTCTGTCTCCACATTCAGCTGGTATGTGACCTTCAATCAAAATCAAGTCTTCACCGGTTACTTTCCACTGTCTGCTGGCAAAGTGAACGACTGCAAATAGCCTTCCATAGTGTCTGTCGGCAATTTGTTCATTCACTTTCTGCACAAGCTCTGGGGGAAATTGGTAAATTGGTAAAGAACTGAAGTGAGTATGAATTCTAAACGTGCATACTAGGACTGTGTGTGTGTCACCCTTGGGGAAAACAATTCTTTCACAGCAACATGAGGTCCATTTATTTTATTTTAAAGCATTGATATCCTGCCTTTCTAAGAATCTAGGGGTGTGCAAATAATAATAAAAAAATTCGGCCCGATTTAGATTCGGCCGAATCGGGCCGAATCAATTTCGGCATGCAGAAAGACTCCCGCATGTCAATTTCGGCAGTTGAGCAGATTGGGAAGTCTTTCACCAGCCGAATGTCAATTTCAGCCCCATTATATCCTATGGGCCATTGAAGTCAATGGTGAAAACATAGGGTATATTCTGGGGGCTGGAAGGGAGGGGGTTTGAGGGAGAGGCTCCAAACTTGCAGGGTAGCTGCTGGGGCCCCTCCCCAAGATACTCACCATGTTTCAAGAACATTGGACAAAGGGGGTCCAATTCTACGGGCCCCCAAACAGGTTGTCCCCATCCCCTCCACTGTTCTCTATGGTGGGAAAAAAGCAATTTCCCCCCCACTATAGAGAACAATGGAGGGGATGGGGGCAACCTGTTTGGGGACCCGTAGAATTGGACCCCCTTGGTCCAATGTTCTTAAAGCTTGGTGGGTATCTTGGGGAGGGGCCCCAGCAGCTACCCTGCGTGTTTGGAGCCTCTCCCTCAAACCACCTCCCCTCCGGCCTCAGAATGTACCCTATGTTTTCGCCATTGACTTCAATGGCCCATAGGATATAATGGGGCTGAATTGCTGCCGAAATTCAGCGGCAAGCCGATTCAGATGAACCGAATGCACATCCCTATAAGAATCCAAAGCAGTTCTCAATATATCATCAAATGTCACTTATATAAAATCCATCAGGTCACACACACACACACACACGTCACGCAGAAGCTGCAAGGCAGTCCTCTGTTATGCCTGGATCCTACTCCGCCTGACAGCTCCTTTCCCTGCACCATCAAGAAAACCATCAGAGGGAAGGCTAGAAAGCAGCCAGCTGAGATTCACTTCTGCAAGGAACATTTCACTGCATTTTGTCATTTGTATTGGTTTTTTTGGCTCTTGAGAGTCAATTTTTTTACTGAAAAGCAGGATAGAAATCATTGTTATAATTTTATTATAACTTCATTATTATAGCAGGCACGACCAACTTCCGTATTCTTAGCGGCTGCTCTTTGCTACAGACAGTGCTCTTGGGGCCAAAACATGTTTACTGCTGCATAGTCTCCCACGGTGTGCTTGGGCATGACTGGGCATTGCAGCGTTGACTTTACTGCCTCAGCTTGAACGGAGGTATGATCTTGCGACTGCCACATCCCAGCCAGCCACAGTGAGAGGCCCAGATGCCTCACAGAAGGGCTTCTCCCATGAGACACCTGGGCCTCCTGATGTAGCTGGCTGGGATGGAGTGGTTGCTATGGTGCCTGCAATGCCTTGGAAAGAGGGGGGAAAACTGTGGGTGCCAGTGGGGGCAAGCAGCGGTAGCAAAAAACAGATGTTCCCTCATGTATTCAGGGGGTGGTAGAGTCAAGAAAGGTCAGAGAAGGGCAAAGGAAAGACAGGAAGATGAGCAGAATACAATTGCCCTAAGCTGTTGCATATGCAGCAGATCCCCCCCCCCCCATCATGCAATGGGCAACATGAGCTCTTTCAGGAGAGGGGATAAATAATGGGGAGTCGCGGAGTAGTAACAATGTCTTTGTCCCCTGTCTCTTATGCTGGGACTGACAAGCTTTACTGAAGAAAGAGGACTGGAGGTTAAACAACATGATGTCTTGAAAGTACCCTCCTGAGAAGGTGTTGGGTTAGTAGCCAATTATTCTTATTTGGAAAATAGATCTCTTCCTTTGCAGGATTCCTGGATTTTTCGATGTCATGATTTGCAAGGTCAAATGGTATAAAAGGTACAGAACCAGACTGGTTGGGCCGGAGAAGGAAAAGCAATCCCCCCCCCCAGTTATAAATGGTTTGAGGGGAGTAGAATTGTGATGTCACAGGACAGAGCTTAGTGATGTCTGAGGTGACCCACTGAGTTTTAATCAAGGAGCACATGGCCCATGTAACCATTTGATATCTGAATCCCCGGATCTAATAGCAATGCAGTTAGCTCTTGTGCCAATCAGGAAAACAGCAAAAATACCCATAGACAAAGTAGGAAACTCTACCTATTTAGGGTTTCCCAGGTACGAACACAAAAAAATAAGACAGTAGGTTAAACTCAAAGAAAAAAGACACCCTCTCAAATGGCCTGATGAGGACTAAATATACTCTATGAGCATTAAACGTTGAGAGCAATTGAGAGTTAATTAAAGGGGGTGGGGGAAGAAGGAAAGGAAATTATCCTGCATAAGTCCCTGAGAGCTTGGACAATCATGGAAAAGGAGAATGTGGGAAGTGGAATGCAATTTCCAAACTGTTCACTCCTCCTGAGATTTCTAACAAGCCCTCAGATTTTCAGAATTTTAAAAGCCAATTTCATTATATCAGTACAAATTTTTCGGACTGGAGTTATGAACATAGAATAAGATCAGCAATACTGTTCTGTACTTTTTTAATTAGCTCAGTTGGTTTGGTCAATTTCTTTCCTGTACACATTGTGTCAAATATAATCCCATATATATGTGGGATGATAAAATAAGCAGTAACAATTACAGTATCTGATCCAAAGGAATATTTGATCTCTTTTCATGCCCACTAGAGTCAAAATACTTCCTTAGTATTAATAATGTTAAAAATTCTTTATGGTAAAAGGGGTATTGCCCCACTGGATTAAACTCCCACTTGATCAAATCGCTCGAAGGTCTTCAATGCAATGCACAAGAAAAGGAATGTAAGCAAGACTGAATAGATTGACTTTCATAAAGGCCTGTGCAGAGGACAGTGAGGCCCAGACCCCCCCCCCCCCATCATGCAATGGGCAACATGAGCTCTTTCAGGAGAGGGGATAAATAATGGGGAGTCGCGGAGTAGTAACAATGTCTTTGTCCCCTGTCTCTTATGCTGGGACTGACAAGCTTTACTGAAGAAAGAGGACTGGAGGTTAAACAACATGATGTCTTGAAAGTACCCTCCTGAGAAGGTGTTGGGTTAGTAGCCAATTATTCTTATTTGGAAAATAGATCTCTTCCTTTGCAGGATTCCTGGATTTTTCGATGTCATGATTTGCAAGGTCAAATGGTATAAAAGGTACAGAACCAGACTGGTTGGGCCGGAGAAGGAAAAGCAATCCCCCCCCCCAGTTATAAATGGTTTGAGGGGAGTAGAATTGCGATGTCCCAGGACAGAGCTTAGAGATGTCTGAGGTGACCCACTGAGTTTTAATCAAGGAGCACATGGCCCATGTAACCACTTGATATCTGAATCCCCAGATCTAATAGCAATGTGGTTAGCTCTTGTGCCAATCATGAAAACAGCAAAAATACCTATAGACAAAGTAGGAATCTCTACCTATTTAGGGTTTCCCAGGTACGAACACAAAAAAATAAGACAGTAGGTTAAACTCAAAGAAAAAAGACACCCTCTCAAATGGCCTGATGAGGACTAAATATACTCTATGAGCATTAAACGTTGAGAGCAATTGAGAGTTAATTAAAGGGGGTGGGGGAAGAAGGAAAGGAAATTATCCTGCATAAGTCCCTGAGAGCTTGGAGAATCATGGAAAAGGAGAATTTGGGAAGTGGAATGCAATTTCCAAACTGTTCACTCCTCCTGAGATTTCTAACAAGCCCTCAGATTTTCAGAATTTTAAAAGCCAATTTCATTATACCAGCACAAATTTTTCGGACTGGAGTTATGAACATAGAATAAGATCAGCAATACTGTTCTGTACTTTTTTAATTAGCTCAGTTGGTTTGGTCAATTTCTTTCCTGTACACATTGTGTCAAATATAATCCCATATATATGTGGGATGATAAAATAAGCAGTAACAATTACAGTATCTGATCCAAAGGAATATTTGATCTCTTTTCATGCCCACTAGAGTCAAAATACTTCCTTAGTATTAATAATGTTACTTTTTTAATTAGCTCAGTTGGTTTGGTCAATTTCTTTCCTGTACACATTGTGTCAAATATAATCCCATATATATGTGGGATGATAAAATAAGCAGTAACAATTACAGTATCTGATCCAAAGGAATATTTGATCTCTTTTCATGCCCACTAGAGTCAAAATACTTCCTTAGTATTAATAATGTTAAAAATTCTTTATGGTAAAAGGGGTATTGCCCCACTGGATTAAACTCCCACTTGATCAAATCACTCAAAGGTCTTCAATGCAATGCACAAGAAAAGGAATGTAAGCAAGACTGAATAGATTGACTTTCATAAAGGCCTGTGCAGAGGACAGTGAGGCCTTTCTAGCACCACTTGCTGAAAAAGAAAAATTTAGTGGTTCAAATGCTGCATTCCATTTAAAACAACTGTCCATAACTGCAGAACACCCTAATAAAGTCGTCATCCATCATCAGCCTGGACAGTTTTGCTTCCTGGGTCTCAATTCTCTTATTCCGTCTCTGCCCTGACGTCTAAGGAGCCACTGTCAATCTTCCAAAGATGGCGGAACACAGCTATCACAAGGCAGAGTTCACAACGTGAACATTCCTTCTCTGTTTTGTTTTTGAGAGAGTCACACCCTTATTTTAAGACCAGTCAGACCAATATAGTCAAAATGAATGGTCCACCTAGGTCAGTACTGTAAACCCTGGCTGGGAATGGTTTTCCATGATCCCAAAGCAGCTCTTTCTCAGTGCAGTTTCGTGGGAGCTGGGGAGTGTACTTTGGCTATGCAACGATGGCCACTGTCGTACAAGTGGGATATCACTGCACAGCTCTAAGCCACAGAGCCTTTTCCAAGTTCTACCTCCCTTTGATTTGCTTGGAAAAGGTCTTGAAATGATTCTAGTACTTGAGACACAATGGACCATGAATCACTGAGCTTTTGACAAGCAATCTGCTACTCGGGAAAGCGCAAACTAGTCTTTTCCTGACTTACAGAGAACAGAAAAGAAAAAAGTTTAAGACTCCGTGTGCTACTGGATTTATAAGCAGCTCTTCTTTTTAAATTAATGTATCAAAATATATCTTGATATTAGAATGAAAAACACTCCAAAGAAAAATTACAAATAAATTGCTTTCCAATAAACAAAGACAGTGAAGATAAAATATTATCCAAAAACATCAATTTAAATTTGTATATCGAAATACATTTTCAGTCTGATCTAAAATGTCCTTTTTACCCTGTTCCATTATGCCAATAAAGGTCAACCAACCAAATATTTCTTGTAACATTTCACCTTCAGTTCACTTATATGCAGAGATTGTAACAAACCAGGTTTTGCATACCCAGGCTTTAATATTTCAAAGTGCCTGGATAGTTCAACATAAAACTAAGAGCTGAAATAATCATGTTAAAAATCAGACGCAAGTGAGATTTTAGATTTTTTCCCTAATATAGTATAAATAGATAAACAATGGGCTAACTTCTAATTCATAATCATCAAGTATCTCAGTCTCTCTATGACTATTTCCTCAGTATCCTTTCGCAGTGGTGCAGTCCCAGGAGACATAGAAGTACCAGAATGTTTTCTATAACGCCAGCATAAATTTGAAGCACTAGATACTTCAAGCAGTCCTTTGAGGTGTCGTATCACCGAAACATCGTTTTCAAAGAGTTCTTCCTAACTACAACTTTACTAGTTTACATCTCTCTTTTAAAAGTTTACACCAATTTTGTCGAGAAAACTAAATTCTACGCCAAGCTCTTTCTCACTTTTTCTTAAACTGGCATTTGTTATTATGAACTTTATCTACACTCGTCAAGGAATAAATTTTAACTTTTAATCCAGGTTGATCAGGATTATATAGCAAAAGTTCAAAACTAATAAGTGGTCTTAAATATTGTAGGTGTCATTCTATGTCCCCATGTTATACTGCTTTCATTCTTTACTTGACCGTAGTGATTTGTACGACTGTCCCAAGCTTTATTGTTCATGTCTTTTGAAATATTAAAAATGTATTAAAAATATACTGCATATTCTTCTTGTAGCACAAAAGAAGAGTTTGACCTAGAGATACTGAAACAAGTAAGTTTTTTCTAATCCAAATCTTCATCTGACATTAAATGATTTTATCTCATTTTGCTTGTCAATTATTGTGTCTGTCTGTCTGTCTGTCTGTCTATCTACCTACCTACCTACCTACCTATCAACAGCTCCTCTAAAACAACTAAGATTCAAAAATCCGCCCATGGAAGTTTCTGTAACCTGAAACATAAGGCTAACAAAGTGCAGGGCTATTTTTGGGCAGGAACGCACAGGAACGGAGTTCCGGCTGGCTTCAGAGTTGGCCACACCCACTACAGCCAAAGCCTCTGTGTGGGAAGGCCTGGAGAGCGGCAACGCGTGACCTGTCCAAGGGTCGGCTTGCCCGGGCTCCCCGCAGCCACAGGGAGCCCGGGCAAACCAAGGAAAGGCATGGTGGCCGAATATGCTAGTGAGCTGCACTGTCAGGGGTGTGGCCTATTATGCTAATGAGTTCCTGCTGGGCTTTTTCTACAAAAAAAGTCCTGACAAAGTATACTAACTTTACTACAATGTTTCTAGCAAGGTGTGGTCAGAAGCACTGCAATGGCAAGTTGAGCACCTGCTCACAAGCACGTGTACAAGCCAATATCCGTGCCGCAGGACAGCTTTTAGCGACAAATAAATATTTTCACTTGCAAGCAGGAGCTTCTGCTTCCAACTTAAATTCATTGACAAAACGACTGCTTCTCTTGGGTTTGTTTTTCCTACACTGTCTCTGTTCATGTGCTCCACTAAAGGACAGAGCGCAGCAACAAATGGGGGGGGGGGGGCAATGAGAA